TTACGGATGCCGTGTGTGGCTTATGTCGAAACCATAATTTTGTTTATCCCTGACTCTGTTCAATAGTAATAAAGCTTTGAACCATCAAGGGAGAAACTCTTGATCCCTTCCACCCTAGTGTTGCTAGTGCCCTTCTTTTCCACCCATTCGGCTCCAACAACCAAGTGAAGATGGAGGGGACCACGTGGATAATGCACATGTGATGGAGCATCTTGCATAACCGCATAGCGGCATACATGTAGGCTGCCTGATGTCCTACAAGTGCACATGATTAGTTGTATTTAGTATATGAGTAAGAGTATCAAATCAAGGAGGAGCTAATGAATTGGTCGTTTGCTTCTTGTAGAGGTTTGTCGATTGTGCGTGGAAATGTATCTTGAACCCAAACAACATGGTGGAGTAATGACGCGACCGATGATGTAACCAACATGTAAATAACAATAAAATAGTAAATAGCTAAACAAAGTGCACAATATTGCTTTCAGGAGGACATTAATAAGGCAAGTGTTTCTGGGGTGAATAGTATCCCCTATAATAAAATGTGATAGTAAATGAGATTTATTCTACATTATACATATTTATACATGAGAATGGAGCCATATCAATATATGCTCTAATGTATTAGAAATATATCACTCACAACCACTACCATCTCGATAAATAGTTTTTTGGCATACGATGATAACTGGAGCCTCCCCTTAGATGTCCCGTAAATTGAATGGGTCTTCGTGGCTCCTGCGTCAAGGTGATATAAAGGTAAAAGGTAGTTTTGTCACCGCGGTGCCTCAGACCCAATATACCAATGATATTGACATCCTTTCTGTCCTCAAAAGTCAAAATTCTATGCATTCTATGCTCCACACCATCACAAATAACATCGCTATGATCACAGAAAATTCTCTCGAATAGCTAAAAATATTACAACCTACATTGGCTAAGGTCCCTCATCTTCATGAAATTTGTGCATGTAAGATCGGGTATCCTCCGCCGCCTTATTAAAAGTTCACTTGCCATTAATCTCCCTATAGATATTAATTGCACAAAAATTGTCATCCCAACACATAAATAATGCTTGAAGCAATTCGTCATGTTTACCTTCATGGGAAAGTCTACTGATAAAAGAAAGCCTATTTACTTTTATCTGTATCGGAGAGGAGGATGTTGAGCACCCAATCGCAAAAGTTTATAGCAAGTGACAATTTTTCCTTAAGTGAAGGTTATCTATGTGTGAGAGGTATGGCAAGGAATGTCCTACTCGGCACCACAAAAACAAATCAATAAATTGTCGTGTGTCCCCAACAATTCTAGTTTGGGTGTCAATCACACTACTCTTCTTAGTTTCCACAAGATGCGAGTATATAACGATAGATAAAGTTTTTTTCTTTGTATTTTAGAATAAATAATAACTAAAAGAATTGCAACGAAATTATTTGTTACTCCATCCGTCCCATAATATAGGACATTTTTGACACTAGCGTAGTGTCAAAAAACGTCTTACATTATGGGACGGAGGGAGTACTTGGGAAATTTGACCATTGTTCATAGGTTCACTGGTTACTACGATGTTTTCACCTTTGAATGCTTGACTACCAAGTTTGCTTTGTTAGAAATCAATGTATCCTTCTTGAGTATTATCATAGAACCATTCCATGAGATTGTTGATACGAGATCAACATATCGCACAACATTGGGCACCAATCGTCGATGCATGAAATTCATGAATAATATATATGGGTTATTTGTACTCCAGGACGTGCGGGTGGAAGCGACACAAGGATTGTGCCGAGAGACAAAATTGCCTAGGTTCATTTCCCAAGGTGTGTAACTACCCTACTTACTTCCTTTATCAGTGTCTTTTTTATCTTGATAATAGATTACCAGAGTGTTTGATTTCTACAGACATAAACCCTGGACAAGAAAGTTCCTTAATCGATATGTGGTTCTCGACGGTGATGTAGAGCGTGTCAAACAGATGGTGAAACTTTTCTTGCTCGAGAAACGATTAAAACTCAAGACCTTGCCTTTTATATATGGACCCAACCTTGGAGTCTAAGTCGGACGCAATCTTGTTCGGACTCTCACTCTAGGATTAGTAAAATGAACTCTCCACGACCGTTTCGAACCCGGACTCATTCCTATAGTCTTCCATATTCGCCCTAGTTTTCTTATCCCGTACACCAGGGGATAGAAGATCGAGAGCTAGCATCCTCGATCTATAAACTTAGCGGGTGGAATTTCATGGGACATTCCGACAAGAGTGCGACATTAGCTTATTTTTCTCTGTTGATAGTAGATAACAACAAAAGAGGAATCACATACAAATGAACACACACATAGACCAACCAGTGGATCATAAAGAAATTCTACCTTTACGTTCGAACCCACACTAAGAAAAAACTAATGGTTTACAAATTAAAACAATACACATAGTGGCTGCCAAAATATCCAATCAAACATGGCATAAATAAGAAACAATCGTTACCAACAAGGCAACTTGACATTTACAATAAGCAATTGGGAAAAACAACTCACTTTCAAGGACTAAACAAAATAGGATGCATGCATCAGTCGTGTTAATAATATAACTACCAAGTTGGTGTGGCAACTAAAAAAATAGTTGGTACGGGGTTGGAATAGAACTGTCACATGAACTTCAAATTGTGGCAAGTTAACACATTTTATCGTATTTTACATTTGAGATGTACACAATAACAACAGTTTCCCCTTCTCATAGAAGCGAACCCTGGTTCTATTTCTTGCTGAGCAAGTTAAGAGCTTATGAACTAGTCCACTCCTAGTTGTAATTTTCAATGATAATCCACTTTATATTTTGAAATTCAGTAAGGTGTCATTAGTTTCGTAATAATGCAAACAAGCTAACTACCATTTTCCAAGAAAGACTAAAACTACAATGAAATTAGTTAGATTGTTAAATTTGTTCTCAGAGAGAGAGAGAGAGAGAGAGAGAGAGAGAGAGAGAGAGAGAGAGCTGGTGGATATAGTGAGTGGTAGTAACATAACCAGCCCCACTAGATATAAACAATAAGTAGATGTTTGAAACAACTCAAGTTCAAAGACCAAACAAAAAACAAAAGAGGTTGTTGAATCAGTCATGTTAATCACTATCAAGTTGGTGTGGGCCCACCTATAGCAAATTAGCATGTTTTATTGTATCCCGCATCTATTATAAGACATACAGGCAGACGCCAATGACAGTTCCACTTTTCATCAAAGTCAGCCAAAGCCTGGCATGTCATGGATGTTTGCAAGTGTCACTTTCCTTTACTATTAGTTCAGTGTAATTTTTTTTATCTCTGACGAGCCGCATACAATCGGACAAACAAAAAGCCTAGTATGATTCTCAATATAATTTTATTTCTTATTTGCCCGTTCTGCGTTGAGTTGTCTACCCATGTACTGGCTCTTATTTCCCTTGATATTACTCAAATTTAACATGCCCTTTGGGTGTCTTTATTTTAATAAAAGTTAACCTGTTTTTTTTCTCTTGCTGAGCAAGTCGACTTTTGAAATAGTCCACTTGTGTAAATTTCCATGACACCTCACTTTAGTATACTTCTAATTTTTTGATAAGATGTCACTAGTTACGTAATAATGCGAAAAGCTACTTTTTTCCAAAAGGGGTGACATTTGTGTTAGTCAAAGAGAGAATTTTCCTGCTTAGTCAATAGTCATGTATCACAGTCTGCAAGGCCAATTTTCTTAAGTAAATAAGAGTGCCAAGTTGATGAGTTAGTTAGTAAGAAGATGTACATTTGAATTCGTCAAAGAAACGCCCACTAAACAAACATTTGGTTGACTGGAAAATCATCTTAATATATGCCTTTTTAATTACGGAAATGTTAACACCCACACGTGTGGGCGTTTGCATCTTGCCCACACGCGTGGATCCGCGTCTGTTTGTGAGCGCACGAATCTTGGCATATTTCTAGTGCCACGTAGGACTGGCCTGGTGTGTGGGCGGTCAGCCGGTCGCCCATACGATCGTTTCACCACACGGGAGGGGCTGGTGTGTGGGCGTTCAGCAGTTCGCCCACACACCACTTTGCACGCACACACAAGGGCTAATGTGTGGGCATTTGGCATCTTGCCCACACGCCCTTCTCCTCTCCCACACCCAAGCTGCTAGTTACCATGTGTTTTTGCACTGCATATGGCAACTGCCCCTAGTGTGCTTTTATAAGCAGGTGGCAACTCTTTTTTTTTATCCGAGTTTGCCATGTGTTTTGCAGGGTACACGACAACTGCCTAGTGTGCACGTAAGCAGATGGCAACTCTCTTTTACCGAGTTGCCATATGTTTTTGCATGATACATGGCAACTGCCCTAACGTGCATGTACATAGCAACTACCCTAACGTGCACGTAAGCAGATGGCAACTCTTCCTTTTTATATGGCAACTGCCCTAGCATGCTTGTGAGCACATGGCAACTCTCTCAACTGCCTAGTGTTAGTATGTGGCAACTCCTAAAGTTATGAAATCATGACAACTACATTAGATCAGACCATGGCAACTGCAGTTGAGCAACTATGGCAACTGCAGTTGTCCGACATGGCAACCATAGTTCAGCAACATGGCAACTGCAATTAAACGAACATAGACGAGGGTCTAGACCATGGCAATTGCGGGCGCGCGGTGACCGTCACGCGTGGCGTGCGGGACCAGAAGGTACGATGCCTGACATACGGGCGTGTGGGCGTTATCAACTTCGCCCACACGCACGCGTGTGAAAGGGATCGGGAGGGAAAAAAGAGGCGTGTGGGCGCTAATTGTTTTGCCCACACGTAGGTGTGTGGGCTGTTCCTTTTATACACCACACAAAATGTGTGGGCGGACTCCCTAACGCCCACACATGTGGCACTTCTCGGCGTCCTTTAATTAATAACCTTCCCTTTGCCTTGTTTAGCTCGGTATGCCTGCTTTATATAGCGTCTGGAGACCAAGCATGGAAGCCCCAACTGACAAGCAGCAAGCAACCACGTATGAGAACACCTCATGGAGCGCTCCTCTTGCTCTTCATTGTGGCGTGCCTCCGCGGTGCTTACTCCGGCGGCGGCTGGAGCCGCTTCACCTCCATAATCAGCTTTGGGGACTCCTACGCCGACACGGGTAACTTGGTCATGTGGGCTGATCCCGTCCTTCCGGGTCTACTACTCAAGAACCTCCCCTACGGCGAGACCTTCTTCGGCCACCCCACCGGACGTGCCACCGACGGCCGCCTGGTGCTGGACTTCATCGGTAGCTACAAATGCACTGCCAGACTTTGTCAACTACTCCTGTCTACAAGTCAATCTTTTGCTGATTCTGACCAATAAACTTCATTGTTCAGCCGAGGCTTTGGGTCTGCCTTCTATGCCGCTGTATCTCGCCAGGGGAAGCAACTTCTCCGCCGGAGTGAACTTCGCCGTGGTAGGAGCGCCGGCTCTGAACTTGACGTACCTGCAGGGACTGAACTTGACAGTGAATCCTCCTATTAACAGCTCCCTCCACGACCAGCTCGTGTGGTTCCAGAAACTCAAGCCTTCGCTCTGCAATGGTAGGTGCTCTTCACAAAGGAAAGTGATTACGCCTATGTAATTTACCTCCTCATGCATACATGGATGCCGTGTGCAGGACAAGGTACTGACTGCTTTGGGAGCTCCCTGTTTGTCATGGGAGAGTTTGGAGGAAATGACTACATAAGCTTCCTTCTGTCAAACAGAACCGTTGAACAAGCCAGACCTTATGTTCCTCAAATTGTCGACAGCATTTCCAGAGGCCTAGAGGTACTATGTTCCCTTTTGACTTTTTGTATTCTCCAACTTTATCTTATAGACATATATATACTGGTTGCATGATTGCATCACGCCGGCCGTTAACATATCCAAATCATTTTGAAATTTTATTCTTGATTATGTGGCTAAGGTCGATGGACTATTGACTTCTTCTTACAATATTAAAGTATATCTAGTGATGAATCTAATGAAAAACTAACATGATGTTGTAGATATTGGTGTATTTTTGTATGGACTTGGTCGGACTTAAAGATGTTTAACTTAGCACGGATCTAAAACTTCAAGTACTATTTTGAAACGGAGGGAATATTTGCTACGATGTGTATTCTGAATCATTTGGATCCAAGCACTGCATTCGTCAATATATATAAACCGAGACTTTGACAATCCTCTGTAGAGACTAGTTCAACATGGCGCCAAGTACATCGTTGTGGCAGACATCTTTCCGATTGGCTGCCTACCAGCAGCGCTCACAAAGCTCGCTAGCCCAAACAAGGTGGAGTATGATCGGCACGGATGCCTGTGTTAGGAATGATCTTGACATGTAGGATGGAGGCGGTCGTCCGGCCGCGTGAGTGGGCTGCCGGGACTTACGTCGTGCCTTTGGCCAGTTGGCGCAACGTTGGTGTGCTGGCCGAGAGCAGCGGCTGGGCCATGCATGTGCGAGTTGCATGGATCAGTTAGTTGGCGTCCTCGTGGAGGGATCCAAGGAGTTGGTTGCAGGTGGTTAGTGCCAACGTAGTGGCCGGGATACGTGCGTACGTGAGTTAGTGGTGTGCTAGGTCATTGGCCTTGGGTGCTGGGCTATATAAGCCGATGTATTGTGTTTTGTTCGGTTTGAGCGGTGTGTAGTCATGTAGCCACTGTAAGGAAGAAAAGGATTGGAGCGTTCGTGCGCCCGTGGCGGCGTTCGTGCGCCGGCCGGAAAATCTTGTGTCTACTATTCTTCTTCTTCCACCTCCATTTGAGTGAGAGGAGAGGTAGCTAGAGGGCTGCGGTTCCAACAATTGGTATCATGAGCTGGTTCATCTTGGGCGTGCTTGCCGTGCTGGAGGCGTGGCAGTGATGGCGGCGCTCGCCGGCAGCTGCGCGACCGAGCTCCAGGCCGTGTGTCGGCCCATGGAGGTGGGCGGCGCTGTGGCTGTCATGGCGCGTGGCGGAGGCGGCGGGCGGTGACGTCGTACGTGCGGCGACCGCGAAGGCCGCTGAGGCGCTGCGTGGTGGCGTGGCGGCGTGGAGGCACTGCATGGCGGCATGGAGGCCGCGGCGGTGCAGGGCAATAAGCCGTGGCGACGAGCCGAACGCGACCGGTGCGTGTTATGGGTGCGCACTGGACGCGTCGGTCGTGTCGGGACCGCGGGCGCGCGTACGAGCGTGCAGTTGACATTGGAGGAGGCATATGTCGCCATTGTACTCGAGTCCGTGCTCGAGTTCGGCTACATCCTTCCGGCTTTTGTCACTGGCGGCTACCATGGCGGACGTGTAGGCGGCGCGCGGTGAGCGTCTGGTGCGGTCGGGCTCGTCGGGTGCGCGCGGGACGTGCGGGACGCACTGGTGCGGTCGGGCTCGTCGGGCGCGTCGGGTGCGTGCGGGACGTGCGGGGCGCCAAGGGACGCCGGGCATATGTCACCGACGGAGAAGGAGCTCGGCGTGTGTCGCCAAAGTCGTGATGGAGCACGGTGCGACCGGCGTCGTTGCGCCAGGTTGGGTCCACAGGCTGGGTCACGCTCGTCACGACGACAACAACCGAAGCTGCAACAATTCCGACGATGGCGAAGTCAAAATTAAGAGAAGAATGTTAGGAATGATCTTGACATGCAGGATGGAGGCGGTCGTCTGGCCGCGTGAGTGGGCTGCCGAGACTTACGTCGTGCCTGTGGCCAGTTGGCGCAACGTTGGTGTGCTGGCCGAGAGCAGCGGCTGGGCCATGCATGTGCGAGTTGCATGGATCAGTTAGTTGGCGTCCTCGTGGAGGGATCCAAGAAGTTAGTTGCAGGTGGTTAGTGCCAACGTAGTGGCCGGGATACGTGCGTACGCGAGTTAGTGGTGTGCTAGGTCATAGGCCTTGGGTGCTGGGCTATATAAGCCGATGTATTGTGTTTTGTTCGGTTTGAGAGGTGTGTAGCCATGTAGCCAGTGTAAGGAAGAAAAGGATTGAGGCGTTCGTACGCCCGTGGCGGCATTCGTGCGCCGGCCGGAAAATCTTGTGTCTACCGTTCTTCTTCTTCCACCTCCATTTGAGTGAGAGGAGAGGTAGCTAGAGGGCTGCGGTTCCAACAGCCTGAAGAGTGTTAACAGGTTGGGCCGCTACCACAACTCTCTCCTCCGTCAACAGGTCAAGATGCTCCGATACAAGTACCAACATACTAAGATCGTTGCCGCCGAATTCTACAAACCTTTCCTTACATTTTTAGATATGCCGGGAGATTTTGGTGAGCTAGTCATTTATGATAAATTTAAGTCTTCTATAGTTCAAAATTAAAGTAGCACAATGAAAACAAATATGTAACCTTTTAATCTCCTCATGGCATTTTGCAGGACTGAATAGCAGCACAACCCTCCTTGCCTGTTGTGGTGCAGGAGGCCCCCCTTATAACTACGACTTCAACGCAGGATGCGGCCTGCCGGGTGTGAAGGCATGCGCAGATCCATCTCAGGCGCTTCATTGGGATGGTTTCTACCTCACGGAATCCGCCTACAGAGCCATTACTGTTGGATGGCTCCATGGCCCATACGCGGATCCACCGATATTGCACATTGCACGCTAGTACATCTATAGTGTGTCTCTTATTCGCCTAAAACGGCATGTATACTAGAGTTAAAAATTCAGATCCGCCGGCATGGGTAAATTTCTGTCTATGTATGTATCTGGCTTGAAGCAATCATCCATTTAACTAAACTAGCAGGGAAATCTGTGTGTTTGTGTGGTTAAACTTAATACATATTTTTCTACATGTTGTTTTGTGTTTTCCCCGCACTCACTGATATAAAATTTCAACAACATTATTTTCTATACGAATATGCTCACATAAAATTATATAGAATATAATAATGTTGAAAAAAAGTAGTGACAAATATAAGTATATTATTTTCACTTAAAACAACATAAACTTTATATATTAAGAAAATCTCTCTCTCTCTCTCTCTCTCTCTCTCTCCCCGTTTTTGAAAACAAAACCTATAAATTTTGTTTAAAGTCAAATGGTGCCAAGTTTGAACAAGTTTATAGAAAAACTATCAATAAATATGATACCAGGTTAATATAATGAGAAACATATATAATATATATTTAGTACTCCCTTTGTCCCGTAATTTAAAGACACGATTTTCTATCAATAAATATGATACCAAGTTAATAGTTCGCATTGCTTTTCATGAAAGCCAAACTTTACAAACCTTGACCAAGTTTAAAAACAAGATTTTCTATATATAAAATACCAAACATATACAATTTAAGTATATTTCATGATGAATCTAACGGTAGTAATTTGGTATTCTAGATGTTAATAAATATTTATTTAACCTTGACCAAAGTTTACAAGGTTTGATTTTGAGAAAAATAAAATCTAATACACACTATGTATTGGGACGGAGAGAGTATTTTAGTTGTTGAAGGTTTTTCCTACAAACATGGTCAAACTATCCACCGGTTGACTTTAAAAAATAACAGGCCTTCTTTAATTTCAAGATGGACGGAGAATCTCACTTGCCCTTCTATCACAACATAGTTATAATAATAAATGAGACCAAGTCACATGATTGAGGAGTAGATATATAGTCAGTCATCATCTGGGTTCAGGACTTCAGGCCCATTTGAATTTAAACTAGTAGATCGCCAGGGAATCTCCTTTGTATTGACTAGAAAGAGAATGTTCCCTCAAAAAAAGAATAGAAAGAAAAGGTGATTATCAAATTGTCATACTTATACCATTTGATTAAGTAAAATTATTATTCAGTTGTCGGTTCTAACTAGCAATAATTTTGCTTGTAATACACCTATACAATATTATATTTATGTATATAATTGCAATGCAAATATAATAGTATCGGAGGAAAATCCCTGTATTTTTTGATACATTTCTAGTCAAAACTTTAAAACCCTGACTACATGCTTAACCATATGTGCCTTATATTTCCAGATCAAGTGACTCAGTTTTTAAAAATATATTTTTCATTTATTCGGTTGATACAAATTACATATATTTCTTTTGATAATTTGCCTTATATTTCCGTATGACATGAATACGATGGCTTTTGTTGATTAGTTGATGATATCAGCAGTGATGCCACGACATGCGTATGATACGGCGATTGACTTCTGTGAGCTGTGCATTCTTATTCTAATACTACAACAAACCTGATGGCAAACATGTAAGGATCGTTTTCACGTCTGGTCGTACGTTAGAACTAGGATCCACTAGTGCATGAGATTATTTAGCCTAATGTGTCTGAATGTTGTAGCTTCTTGGCCTCTTGTTTTAGTACTAGCGGCCAAGAAGCGTGGCGCACGCCGCGCCCGTGACTGATTCCATCTGTTATTTTCCAAAATAAGCAGGAAAACAACATGTATTACTCCAGAAAATAAAATAAAAAGAAGAACACACTAACTGATTTAACAAATTAAGTAAACTGGCTGGCCTATTAATATTTTTTCATAAGCACATATTTTCCCCCTTCGTAAGAAAAAATGTGATGGACGCGGTAGCATTATGCATTTGGATTCATTCTCATATGGCCTATTTGATCAACAGTGAGATCGAACGGGATTGTTACCAATGCGTAGACCCTATAGTAGGTAAATATTTCTTGTCCAGTTTGTGCATCTTTTTCACCTACATTTCATATCCAGATCCTACTCGGCACTCTTTCATTCTCTCTCAACCATGGATTTATTTAATAAAAAAAATCAAATTTAAAATTTTGTAAGTAGTTTAAACCCCAAAACTGTCATGGCGTAAAAATGAATAGTAATTGGTGGAGAGCTTATTTTAACGCAATATCTGTGAATGGCTAATCTGGTAATAGGACGTTCAACCAAATGCGGGTGCATATTCAGTCGTGTTAACGATATTACTATCAAGTTGGTGTGGGGTGGTATATAATAGTCACACGAATGACAAATTGTGGCAAATTAACACATTTCATCATATTTTGCATTCAAGGTGTACACAATAACGGCAATTTCCTCTTTTCGCACAACTCAACCCTGCTTCTATTTCTTGCTGAGCAAGTCAAACTTATGAACTAGTCTACTCCCTAGTTGTAATTTTCAATGGTATTCCACTTTCTAGGTTTTAATTTTCATCAAGGTGTCATTAATTAGCTACGTAATAAAGCAAAAAATGCTACCCCTTTTCAAGGAAGACCAAAACTACAGTGGAATTATTTAAATTGTTAAATTTGTTGTCAGAGAGAGAGAGAAAGAGAGAGAGAGAGAGAGGGAGGGAGGGAGGGAGGGAGGGAGAAGGCCTGCATAGTTTTAGTGTGGGCCGGAATATAAGTTGTTCCTCACAAAGCAAAATTTATTCTAAAGAAAAGCATAGAAAATGATCACGTTTTATCGTACAAGTGTACGCCACACAATTCCTCTTTGTGTCAAAGTCACCCTGCTTTTTTTTTTTTTGCTGAGAAAGTCACTCCCCGAAATGGTCCACTTCCTAGTTGTAAATTTCCATGATACTTCACTTTGTAGTTCTAACTGTTGATAAGATGTCACTGGTTACGTAGTAATGCAAAAAGCTACTCGAAAAGGGGCCAAAACTACAATGAAATCATTTAAACTGTTACATTTGGTCTAGTCGTAAAGAGAACTTGGGTGCATAGTCACTACTCAAATCTCACAATCTACAACTTATAGTTTCTTAAATAGTAAGTGCCAACTTGATGAGTCAGTTAGTAAGAAGATATACCTGTACATTCGTAGAAAATGCACACCAAACACACATTTGGTTGACTGGAACATCATCATATAATATGCGCATTATAATTAACCTTCTCTTTGCCTTGTTAAGCACGGTATGCTTGCTTATATATAGCATTTGGAGACCAAAGCATGGAATCCCCAACTAACAAGCAGGAAGCAGCTAGCAAGCGTTGCTACAGCAGCGCAAGCAACCAAGTATGAGGCCACCTCACGCAGCGCTCCTCTTGCTCTTCATCCTAGCGTACTTCCGCGGTGCCTACTCCAGTGTCAGCCAGAGCCGTTTCACATCCATAATCAGCTTCGGCGACTCCTTCGCCGACACCGGTAATTTGGTCATGTGGGCTGATCCTGTCCTTCCCGGCCCTCAACCGCTCAAGAACCTCCCGTACGGCGAGACCTTCTTCGGTCGTCCCACCGGACGTGCCACCGACGGCCGCCTTGTGCTGGACTTCATCGGTAAACACCTACATATGCACTGCCAAACTTGTTGAACTACTGTTAATCTTGCTGCCTAATTAAAAGGAGAAAGAGAGGGAGATAGATTACATATATAATTAATGGTTGCTTCATTTTCCAGCCGAAGCTCTAGGTCTGCCTTTCGTGCGGCCTTACCTTGACAAGGGGGGCAACTTCTCCGCCGGAGTAAACTTCGCCGTGGTAGGAGCGCCGGCTCTAACCCTGACATACCTGCAGGGACAGAATTTGACCGTGAACCCTCCTATCAATAGTTCCCTCCATGATCAGCTCCTGTGGTTCCAGAAACTCAAGCCTTCGCTCTGCAAGGGTAGGCTGCTAATTAAATATCAGTCCTTAATCACACCATTTTCAGAAAGCACTGTGATTATGTTCAAGTAATTTACCTGATCATACCTACGTCGTCGATGTGCAGGACAAGGTACTGATTGCTTCCGGAGCTCCCTGTTTGTCATGGGAGAGTTTGGAGCAAATGACTACAGGAGCTTCCTTGTGTCCAACAGGACTGTGGAACAAGCCACAGCTTATGTTCCCCAAATCGTTGACACCATCTCCCAAGGCCTAGAGGTACTATGTTGTGCACAGAATAGATGGAAAGTCCATTCTTCCTTTAATTCCCACAATTTACTTCTCCCTCAACATGTTTTCTTTTGACTTTATATTCCTCAACACAATACTTGTCTATCTTATCGCCTTAACTTTTATACTATATGCTGGTTGCGTCGCCATGACCATATCCAAACCAGTTGGAAATTTATGTTCTTGATTATGTGGCTAGGATCAATGGGGTTCTGGCCTGCAAAAATTAGACATTTTTTCAGCATTCTAGGTGTCAATGTTTTTCTCCACAAAGTTGGTCAAAGTTTATGAGATTTGACTTTCTAAAAAATCTATATGCACTACATTATGGAATGGAAGGAGTACAAAGAATGGATGATAGGTCTATTCTTTTTGCTAACACTTGTGTATGACTCACGATAAACTGATGAGTGGGCAATCCTCTGCAGGTACTGATCCGGCACGGTGCCAAGTACATCGTTGTGCCAGACATCTTCCCACTTGGCTGCGTACCCACAGTGCTCACAAAGCTTGCTAGCCCAAACAAGGTGGATTACTATCGGAACGGATGCCTGAAGAGTGCGAACAGGCTGGGGCGCTACCACAACTCTCTCCTCCGCCAGCGGATCAAACTGCTCCGGCACAAGTACCCCCATGCGAAGATCATTGCCGCTGAGTACTACCGACCCGTCCTTGCATTTCTAGATATGCCGGGGCATTTTGGTGAGTTGGTCCTTCCTGATTAATTTAGGTCTTCCGCAGTTCAAAATTAAAGTAGCATCACAAGAGCAAAGATGTAACCTTTCAATCTCCCCATGGCATCTCGCAGGACTGAACAGCAACACAACCCTCCTCACCTGTTGTGGTGCCGGAGGACCTCCTTATAACTACGACTTCAACTCGGAGTGCGGGTGGCCAGGTGTGATGGCGTGTGCAGATCCATCTCAGGCCCTTCAATGGGATGGTTTCCACCTCACGGAGTCTGCCTACAGGGCCGTTGCTGATGGGTGGCTCCATGGCCCTTACGCGGATCCACCGATAATGCATGTTGCACGCCCATAATTTCTTTCCTACTGGCCTAAAACACATGTGTACTAGAGTTGAAAATTCAGATTCACGGGCATGCATAAATTTATGTCTCTCTATGTATTGGCTTGAAGCAATTATCCATTTAACTAAACTAGCGGGACAACCCGTGCATTTGTGTGGTTGAATTTAATACATATTAGAAGGGATGAGCGTGCTTTGCTGCGCTGTTGGTGTTGTTGGGTTTTCGTAATCATTTTACTCTATCTGCTTCAAAATATTGTGTATTTGTTTTTTAAAAAGTCAAACTTTTTAAATTTGACCGGAAATCATTAGATTCATCATGAATTGAATTTCCAACTTCTTTCTATTTAGTATTGTGGATGTCGATATTTTAGGTACAAGATGACCATTTTTAATACATGATAAATATTTCTTAAATATGCAATGAACATTTCTAATGCATAATTATTTTTTGTCAAATTAAAAAAAATAATGAGTTTTCCAAGTATATATTTTTATAACATTTTCAGAATATATAGAAAAAGAACCCAAAAGGGTTTAAAACAGAAGAAAAACATGTGACGGGGCTCGGAGAAAACCAATCGTGCTTCATGGACCGTACCCAACACGTCTCCTCACATATGTGGCGAGCTTTGTTTGGTAGGATATAGATGCTCGCACCAGAACGTGGATGACAATGATGTACGTATACGTGTTGGAATAAATGGGCTAGACCCAATTAAAGGTTAGAATTGAAAATAAGTCATGTGGGTGGAAGGCATATGGGGGTTTAGTTGGATACCACCCCGGCAGGGATGGCAAAGATCAATGTATATGTTGTAGGGGGGAATAACCAGAAAGTAGGCACACTCACAGCTACCGCCAGGGATGAGGCAAGAAACTTCCTTAGTGCGTCGGCTATGATAGTACAAGTGATGAAAGATTCGGAGGTGCTAAAAGCTCTGGCTTGCCACAATGTTTTTGCCTTGGCCGAAGACCTGCTATTATCACATGTGACCGCTTAGCAGTTGTCAACAACTTGATAGAAGAAGCACTTGGACGTTATGGCCAGATCGTCCGTGAAGTGAAGAGCAAAGTGTCGAGCCTTGTCACGGAGGAATTCATCCATGAATATAGAGAAAGCAATGGTGACGTACATAACCTAGTATAGGCATCCATCCATGAGCATCGGCATGCCCGGCACGGAAGGAAAGGGTCGGCCTCAATCTCGTTAGCTGTCCATGCAATCTGTAAGACATGGCCTTCAACCAAATCACGAGTCACAACCACTGGGCCCTTGCATACATGCACTCATTCACATCTCAACTTTGCTCCAAAACAATCACGTCTCAACTAGGGCGATACAAAATTTCAGTGATTTTTGATAAGCAAATAGGCAGTTTTCCGATTAAATTAATCCATGAATAAATCATGAGCATGACATTGACAACATTGATAACACACTGGTTACGATCTAACAGAGCATGTACTACGCATACAGTAGAAATATCTACGCATATCGCTAGTACTGCTACAACAGAAAGAAACACGAGAAGGATAAACAATGTATACCCTTCAATCGGCCATGCAGCGGTGGTGGCGGCGGCAGCAGCCGCGGCATCCTCGGCGGCCTTCTTGCCGGCCTCGGCCTTCTCAGCGGCGGTACGGTCGGCGTCGGTCGACATGGTGATGACGAAGGTTATGCGGACATAGATGAACATAAGCGAGCAGTCGCATAATCGCTACCCAAATACCTAATCGCCCCTCTCCCGTACAGGATCCGGAGAAGCGGGGTTTAGGAGGCCTGCTCTCCCCTCAACCGTGTACGCGGTGAACGGGACGGAGTCGCCGGTGGCAGCAGCAGCAGAGGAACGACGTGGGCGTGGAGGCGGAGATGCGTTCTGGTTTCGTGGCGGCTAGGGTTGGCAGCGCCCCACATATATATGTGCGGCTGCGCGTGGAGAGACGTGGGCTGAACCCACATCCAAGTCGGTAGCCCACGATCCGACGTCTCAGATCGTGGCCCCACCTGTCAAAAACTCTCCGTTCCTGACCGGCAAAAAGAAGCGCATATCAAGGTTGTCAGAATCGCGATTCTGTTAGACGATTCTACGACTTTACGATCCAAACTAACCCCTATGATTCTACGACTTTAGTTCTTAGAATCTACGTTTCTACGATACTGATATTGAAGATTCTACGATTTGCGATCCTACCATCGAAGCTCTGATCCGATTCAAAATCATGATTCTGACAACCTTGGCGCATAGGAGTGAGCTCGGCTCGGCTCAATCCCGCAACCCGCGGCGCGTCGTGACGAGGCGTCGCTTGGCGAGGCGAGCGGAGGAGGAGGAGTGCGCGACGGCCTCATCTCTTCTCAAGCTCCAATGGCATGAGGAAGAGAATCTCTTATAAACCACTCCAACTCTCCTTCCACTTCCGGGGTGGGACTAAACTTCCCACCACCTTGTCATGCCACCTACATGGGCCCTTAGAGATCAAATCTGAAATTGTCATATGGGCTCTAGGCCCATCTCATATTTCAACAATCCCCCACCAGATCTCAGGGGCCCAGTTTGCCCTTTGTTCCAAACGCTGTTTTGATATACCCGCATCTCAGTGGAGACCGATTAAGGTTGAGCTCCACCTAGACCAAGTAGTTATACTCCTTCACAACTGAACAATGGACTATGCCTTGAATTGTCAGTTTGGCGTCAAGAATTTTCACCACAAGTCTCACTGATACGAGGCTGCCGAAGGCCGACCCCTCGGGTGGAGCATATTAGTCACACTCCTGGCTTGTTCATGAGCTTGCTAGAGATCACCCCAATCTCATAGACTGTGACCAGCAGTCAGGCTCATATAGGTGTGTTCCTCCAAAGATCGCTCTGTAGGATAGCATCTTGCTTATGCATATAAGCCTTGGAACACATTAAGACAGTAGTCATCCTTCCATACAGTTTCCGAGAGTATTGCATCTCCAACGGAGTGGGTTAGTAAAGTTACTCTCCTCAGTTCACCACTGGCTTGTTTTCCCAGGTCCTACTTCACGGGATCTCCGATCACATAGGTTGGATTACTACCATGGCAACTCATGTGGGTCTCATACCCATCTCCCTTGATGCGTTATCTATCACAACACGTGATAGCCCTTTAGTAAAGGGATCTGCCAGATTCTTAGCCGTTTGAATATAATCCAACGCTATCACTCCGGAGTTCCTCAATTTTCTGACAGCTTTCAATCTCATTCTTATGTTTGGACTTCATGTTGTCCTTTGAACTCTTCACCTTGACAATAACTGTTTGATTGTCACAGTTCATAAGGATGGCCGGAACCGGCTTCTCAACCACTGGCAAGTCCATCAACAGATCTCGAAGCCATTCTGCTTCGCCACCCGATGTGTCTAATGCTGTTAATTCTGCTTCCATTGTCGATCTTTGTTAAGATCGTTTGCTTGCAAGACTTTCAGGAAACAACACCACCTCCAAGAGTAAATATATACCCAGTTGTGGCCTTCATCTCATCAGCATCAGAGATCTAATTCGCATCACTATACCCTTCAAGTACCGACGGGTATCCGGTATAGTGAAGTCCATAGTTCATAGTACCTTTCAGATAGCGCATAACTCTCTCAAGAGCACGCCAATGTACATCACCCGGTTTGGAAATAAATCGGCTCAGTTTGCTAATAGCAAATGCGATGTCAGGCCTCGTTGCGCTTGCTAGATACTGTAGTGAACCAACAATCTGAGAGTATCTCAATTGATCTGTAGCTGTGCCTTTAGACTTTCGAATCAGCACACTAGAATCATATGGTGTTTGAGATGGTTTGCAGTCCGAATATCCAACACGACTCAACACCTTCTCAACATAATGGGATTGCAAAAGTGTAATCCCACCCTCATCATCTCTCAATAGCTTGATGTTCAAGATAACATCAGCCACTCCAAGGTCCTTCATCTCAAAGGTCTGAGATAGGAAAGACTTAACCTACTCGATTAACTTGAGATTAGTCCCAAATATCAGTATGTCATCAACATACAAACACATTATAACTCCTTCGCCCCCACCATAGCGATAGTATACACATTTGTCAGCCTCATTAACAACAAAGCCAACAGATGTCAATGTTTCATTAAACTTGTCATGCCATTGCTTAGGCGCTTGTCTCAGGCCATACAAAGATTTCACCAACTTACACACCTTTCCTTCCTGACCATCCATCACAAAGCCATCAGGCTGTTGCATATAGATTTCCTTCTTTAGCTCTCCGTTCAGGAAAGCCGTCTTAACATCCATCTGATGAATGAGAAGACCATGCGAGGCCGCCAACGAGAGTAATACTCGAATGGTGGTCAGTTTGGCCACAGGTGAATAAGTGTCGAAGAAATCTTCTTCTTCTTTCTGGGCGTAGCCCTTGGCCACAAGCCTAGCCTTGTACTTTTCTATCGTACCATCGGGCCTAAGCTTCTTCTTAAACACCCACTTGCATCCCAATGGTTTGCAACCATAAGGACGTTCAGTAAGCTCCCAAGTCCCGTTAGCCATGATGGAATCCATCTCGCTATGGACCGCATCCTTCCAGTAGTCAGCTTCTGGAGATGCATACACTTCTGAAATAGAAGTGGGATTATCCTCCACGAGGTATATGAAGAAATCATCACCAAAGGTCTTTACAGTCCTTTGTCTCTTG